GCCAAGAGACTCTATCTGTCTGTGCACCAACCAAAGAGAACCAAGTCCAAACCGCGGCATCTCTTCATCTAGTCATGACCAATCATAACTGTATGGGCAACGCCCTGTGTAATAAAATGTATTGTCGCACGAGGTTCGAGGCTCTTTACGGATTTGGGGGTTACAGATTACAGCTTTGCTGCCTGTGATTCCCAAAGACGTGATGAGTCCCTGGCCAAGTAATATATATTGTTTGCTCTCTTTACAATAAATAGTTAAACTTAGAAGTTGTCTGTCATTTCTGGAATTCTGAACCCAACAATTCCTCACATAAAGCAATACACCCCCTCCTTTTCCCTTCAGTCTGTCCTTCCTAAACACATTATATCCTGACATAGATATAAGAGTGGATGGTGACGACTGTTTTAGCCAAGATTCCGATATTCCCAGACAGTCAATATTGGACTCAAGGAGGAGATGTTCTAGCTGTTCATGTTTATTGCAGATGCTGCGGAAATGTAAATGTCCACTGAATAGTCCCTTCGGCTTGCACCAAGGATCCCACACTATTTTAGCTTGATTCACTGTTTGAAACATTTTTGTGCAACGGTGTTTTTTAAATACAGGATTTCTAGGCTTTACCTCGGAGCCGTTGTTTACAGTGGAGCAGTCAAAGCTATCTAGGGGTACCATCTCTCAAAAGATCATAACACTTAGTTTCCAGTCAAGCCATAGGCTACAATACACATAATGCTGTTAGCTTTATTGTTGCTAATTGTTTGTGGTTACATTATGATATGGGCCTGTTTGACACATTGAAACATCTAAACATGTATTGCAGGCAGCATAAATGTCAATGATTATTCAAGTGACAAACTTTAACGTCTCACCTTGAACCGCCTGTATGGAGTGAACTGTCGCACTTCATTCACCACATACTGTGAGAAGAACGAGTGGTTGAGGACGTCTGTAGCTGTGTATCGTAGCTTTGGGTCCACCACCAGCATCCGAGAGATCTGAGGAAAGTAATATAAACCCTTAGTCAAACACACTAAGTATTTTTACTTAATCCAAGCTGCAAAAGCAGACGTGGAAAAAAAACGCCTACCAAATCTTTCACAGTGTCTGAGCGGTCTTCCCACTCTGGTAAAGAGAAGTCGTAGATCCCTGATAAAATCATACGCAGCATCAGCATCTGCTTCCTGTGCCAGAAGGGCGGAGAGCCTGCAAGCAGTGTGTACATGATGACCCCTGAACTCCATCTGCAGGTAAACAAGGAGAACATCAACATACATGCAACATCTCCATTTTATCTTCTGTATTTAAAGAGCCAAAATGGAAAAGGGAAAAAAGAAAAACAAGAAAAAAACACGTTTTAAAAGTCTAAACAAACCCACCTTATAGATAACTTTTATGTTTAATTAAGTGAAAGTTTAAGACCAGCAATTGTATTGTTAAATTACAGCATGGCAGTGTTGGAGTATGGTGTATTTAGTAGAAGGGAAGGACAGAGGATCATGTAAATAAATACAATTGACTATAAGTCTCATTAAGGAGGCAACACATACAGATTGCTTAAAGGTTCCATGTCATGGCCATTTCTACTGATCATAATTCCGTTGTTGAGGTATATTAAAAAAAAATTATATTGTGCAATTTTCCAAAATCGCATTGGTTTCTCATACAGCATCTCATAGTATGTGTATTCACGGAGCTTACACACGGCGGCGTGCGTTGAAGTTTGCCGGCGGGCATGTCTAGCGCTCGACCAACAACCAATGAACATGAACACATGAATCTCCCGCCCCGGACACACAAGCAGCGGTTTGATTCGCTAGAGCTTGTACTGGCATATGATTTGATTGGCTGACGCTTCCGTCGAAGCTTCGAAAGTTGAACATTGCTACAACTTTTGAGCGTAGCAACGCGAGAAAAGCGAAGCGACGGAACCACAATGCAGTTCGGCAAAGTGTGACGTCACGTGTTAAG